GCCTCCCAAAGTGCTGGGATTACAGGTGTGAGCCACCGCGCCCGGCTGTCCAGGCTGGTTTTTAACTCCTGGACTCAAGTGATCCTCTCTCCTCAGCCTCCCAAAGTGCTTGAGATTAAAGGCATGAGGCACCACACCCAGGCCTCATTTAACAGTTTTATCTAGGTTTATTCATGTATGCTCATCTAAATGTGAATAGTTATTAAATTTATCTTATTTAAATAACTTTTTTTTTTGAGATGGAGTCTCACTCTGTCACCCAGGTTGGAGTGTAGTGGTGAGATCTCGGCTCACTGTAATACCCACCCCACGCCTCTCACCTGGCCTCAAGTGATTCTTCCACCTTAGCCTCCCAAGTAGCTGGGACCACAGATGCATGCCACCACACCCAGCTAAGTTTTTGTATTTTTGGTAGAGATGGGGTTTCACCATGTTGCCCAGTCTGGTCTCGAACTCCTTGGCCTCCCAAAGTTCTGGGATTATAGGCATAAGCCACCATGCCTGGCCAACATATTTAAATAAAATAAAAACTGATGTACAAATACATTTAAATATTATAAAATATTTATAATATTTAAATTTACAATTTAGGTTTATCACCTAGTTTTTTAAAGGAGGGATAAGGAGACTCTTAGAGAAAAATAATATAGCAAAGGATGAAAAGGTCGCTGAGATAAGTCTAAAACTTTTTAGGCTAGAGTGCAATGGCGGTCTCTGCTCACTGCAACCTCCGCCTCCCAGGTTCAAGTGATTCTCCTGCCTTAACCTCCTGAGTAGCTGGCATTACAGGTGTGTGCCACCACAACCGGCTAATTTTTGTATTTTTAGTAGAGACGGGGTTTCACTATGATGACCAGGCTGATCTTGATCTCCTGACCTTGTGATCCACCCACCTCGGCCTCCCAAAGTGCTGGGATTACAGGCATGAACCACCGCGCCTGGCTCCAACTCTAAAATTTTTTTTACCAAAGCCAAAACCAACTTTAATATTAAAAATCAGAACAATAATGACTAGATTGTGAGCTCCATGAGGGCATTTTCTTTATTCACTTTTATGGTTTCATTGCTGAACGTGGCCTTGTTATAAGTGTCAGAAGGTATTTGTTAATGACTGCATTAACTGAGAAGGCAGACATTTGTTAATCTGAAAGGGACTCTGTGTTTTGATTAGTTATCGGTTGGTGAAATAATGACTAGCATAATCTTCTCTACAAACTTTAATATTACATAACACACACATATTTATTAAAGTAATTCACCTGAAATGCACCAAGCAGTGGGCAGGAATCAGATTAAATTACTACTGCTTACCACTTTGAGTACATAGTTACTCAATGGCGAATGGATTTAGAGAAGGACAATAATTGACCTGATTCACCAGTTAAGGTTTGATCATCAGCTAGGCATCAGGAATGTGTCTAGAAGCTGATTGAACCACACATAAATGACAGTTAGCTCCTACCCTCCAGTGACTCAAGAGTCTAATGGGAGAGAAGAATCTATAAGGAGTTACAAAATAATATAATGGATGATGTAAGAGCTGGAGGTACAAGAGATTCATTCTTTCTGTTTGATGGTGCTGGAGAAGGCTACCATAGGAAGTGATGATTGTGCTGCCTTGAAAAAGAAGCAGGTGTTTTCAAGGCCAGGGGAAGAGCCTCCACCAGGAAGAAACAATGTGAACAAAGGCTAGGCAGCAGGGAGACAGAGAACATGGGTTGAGGCCTCAACATTTTTACCATAAACAAGGCAAATATGATCACATTTTACAGAAAAAGTGCATTTCTAAAGATCTCACATAGTTCAAGATTAACTTTTCTTTTCTTTCCTTTTTTTTTTTTGAGATGAAATTTTGCTCTTGTTGCCCAGGCTGCAGTGCAATGGCACTATCTCAGCACACCACAACTTCTGCCCACCCGGGTTCAAGCAATTCTCTTGCCTTAGCCTCCTGAGTAGCTGGTATTATAGGAATGCATCACCATACCCAGCTAATTTTGTATTTTTTTAGTAGAGACAGGGTTCTCCATGCTGGTTGGTCTCAAACTCCTGACCTCAGGTGATCCACCTGCCTCGGGCTCCCAAGGTGCTAGGATTAAAGTTGTGAGCCACTATGCCCAGCCAAGATTAACTTTTCTTTGAGAAAAATGTAAAAGCATGAGAGGAGATATTCTTGGAGTACATAAACCTACAACAACCAAAGCATATTCTTGCTTTCTTTCTTCAACTTTCTTAGCATTATTACTAGTGTTTTATAGCCTGCTCTCTCCACACAGACTATCATGGTGGTATTTGGCCTTTTTAATACTGTTTTCTTGAATGTAACTTTTGTTTCAACATATTTATTTGGAGGTTTTTTTTTTTTTTTT